ATTAGAAACGATGATATTGATAGAAAGGGGAAAAAAATTAAAGAAAATTTTGTGCAAAAAAAAAAAAAAAACTAGTATACATATATATAGAATGTTATTTTATGCATTAATTAGGATATGTATTTAACAATTGCTTTAAAAAAAAAAAAGAGAAAGAGATGCATTAAAAGGGAGTAACATGTATTTTCCTTATTGTTTTTTATTACATATATCTTAAATTAAAAAAGAGAAAGAAATGAACTTTTTTGTTTTCTCTTTCATGTAAAAACCCAATTAAACTTTAAGATGCACATAAAACCTTTTATATTCAATAATTATTCATTAAAATATTATTTATCTTTATTATTATATCTAAATTTTAGTATCAAATCCAAATAAAGTATTTATAACAGTTAGAACTCTTAACATTCCTTCTCTAAACCCATAAAAGACTACAAAACTAAAATGTTCAAATCCCAAAAGTAAGTGTCTTAATTAGTTGATGGTACTTTTCAACTCATGAAAGCTTTTACTCACATTATTTATCGAAATTAAGTCGTAAGTTAATATTTGGTTTAGGTATATTTATATCACTTCTAAACATAGTTTTATTTGGTTTTAATATATACTTGAGATACTTAGCTAATATTTGTTTTCTTATTACAAAGTTTATGTTGATTTTTCATTATATTCTCTAATTTTGAAGATTCTAAAGGAGGGAGAGGCACCAAATTTAAGGAAATACAAATATCATGCTATGCTATTGTAAAAACTTAAGGGCAAGAAGTGCAGCAAAATTTTGAACCTAGGAAAGTAAGAAAATATAAAAATTCACATACAACTAAAAAACAAATGGAAAGTATGAAAAAAAAAAGTTTTTATGTTTATTTTTAAAAGCAATCCATAATTTGTTTTTAGATGTGTATATATATTATTTGTGTGTTAAAATTCTCAATTTATAGTATTTTAAAAAAAATTAATAAAAATAGAGGTAACTAATATAGTTTTTTCAAAATTTTAAGAAAATAAACATTTATCTATCTATCTTTTCTATCTATATCTATCTATATATTATATAAAATGCTATC